CGCTGTATTTAACAAAAAAAAACAACAAAGAAAGATACTACAAAAGACGCGGTGCGGGCTCCGAGTCGCGTAGTCGCGAAGTCATTCGGCAGCTGGATCCGTAGTCGAGGATCCTTCTGCCTCGCGGAGTTCGGACGGCACGAGGCTCGCGAAATTCTCTCGTTACACACTAATTACTGCATTGGGCGCCAGCCGGGTGCATCCCGGCCCTAATTGTCACGTCGCGAACCACGTACTTCTCGCCCCCTCGGAAACCCGCACTTCCTACGACTGATCGCGAGTCGTCATACTCTTTACGCAATCGCTCGCCGTACTGTGCGGTCGCGAACGCGGTAAAGCGGCAGCAGGCAGCGCGGTAAGGACGGCTATTCTCTCGCGGGCCCCGAATCTGAGCCCGCGATCGCGAGGTTGGACGGTTCGTCAAGGATGGAGACGAACCCTTCCGGCTGCCGTCGTGAAGCGACGCTTTTGGCACTCGGGCTGAACGACAGGTGGAAGACAGCTCACCAATTATCCCTCGCAGGGCTCGCACCTCGTTCTCCGCTGTCTCGCTCGTTCGGAAGCCCGTTCGTTCGCTCGCTCTCTATGTCGTTCGCTCGTGAGATCGCTCGCCGCACTCGCTCGCTCGCTGTTCGCACAGTGACGAATTTTTCCGCGAGCGCAAGGCTCCTTAGCTCGCGGTCTCAGCCGCCGATCGCCGCTAGGGCCTATTGGTCCTGCGGGAACGCACGGCTCTAGCGCGGGCGCCTTACAGGGCCCGCGCGACACCGCGAATTCTCTGACTCCGTGTCGATGGGATCCTGTGCCTGACGGCATCTTTAACTGGCGTGGGCGCTCAGGTGGCTGCCGGAAGCTTTTGGTATCCCAGGGCGTCCCCCGGGATTTGGTCCTTAAGGTCCAGCCCTTCCTGGCGCCCCGCAGCAAGTTAGTCGGGGCCCCCGTCGCTTATGATAACGAGGGGTGGATCCTGCCCCGTTTGGTTTGTCGTCCGCTTCAGGTCCGCCGTCGCCTCGCTCCGATAGATGCACTCCGTCATTTTCGTCGCAGCCCGAGCACACAAATAAAACAACAAAAACAAAATTACAACAACACGATCTCGCACGCAAAAGCGGGCGAGACTAAGTTCTTCGCCGCCGCCCTTCCCGCGGAAGAAGGGGGCGCGAGCACAGCTCTCCTCGTCTCCCGGCCAAAATCGGTGACGGCGAAATCGCCACGTCACAATA